CCCCCCTCTCTCTCTCTTCAGCTTGATGTTCGCTGGTCCCCGTTCATGCGCCGCAGATGCCTTCACTTTTGCTAAAAAATCTCAAGCGTGCTGTTTTATTTGGCGTCCAACCGCGCGCGCTTGGTCCCCTAACCCTTGCTATCCTCGTCCTCCTCTTGGTCGCCGTGTTTTTCTCTCCGTCCGCCGACGCCAGACGGGGCGCCGAAGCTGGGCTGGCACGACACCGTCGCGTACATGACCATCCCCATCATCCTGGTCATCACGCAGTCCATCTCCACGCGGATCATGCAGCCGGCCAAGGACCCCTCCCAGCCGGTCGACGAGTCGCAGGCAGCGTCGCAGAATGCAAGTGTTTAGTCTTTTCACACCCGCGGGAGAGGGTTACGGCGCCGGGGTCTTCGCTGTTCGTAGTAGGGGTGGGTGGGGCGGGGGGTTGCTTCGGGCGGGGAGGAGTCAAGTAGGGCACAGAACACCGCGCTGCGCCACGATAGGAACATCTAAATTAAATGAGGTTGAGGCGTGAGGGCTACGCAGAATCCCATAAGAGCCACTAGGAGGCGGGGGAGGGGGAGGGGTGAAGGCATGCCGAGATTTCGTGAGAAGGCAGCAGACCTGCCTCTCGGTGGAGTGATCTGCTGGTCCATTAGCCATCATGTGAAAGGGCACGTTTGCACGAGTAGTACGGAGCAAGGTTTTTGGCCGTACTGTTGGCATTTGCTGCTGTTTTGCGGTTGTGGGGCGCGTCGGACACATGTTTCAGCTCGCAACCCGGAGCCTAAAAAAATAGCGCAGTTCACAAGTTTTGATGGTATCGGCCTTTTTTAGTGGTCTGTTGATCCTGTGCTCTTGCCGTTCGTTCACTCCGGCTGACTTGCGCTGTCGAGGCGTGTTTTTGTTGTTCCAGGAGCTGTCTCGTTTTCTCAAGGGTACATTTCCCGTTTTTCCCCGTCCGGTCCGATCACTAATTTTTGTGTCCCAAGCAGATCGTCAAGTTTTTGCCGCTGATGATTGGATGGTTCTCGCTCAGCGTCCCTTCGGCGCTCGGGCTTTACTGGATCCTCAACAACTTCATCTCCACGGCAACGTCGGTGTTTATCCGCAACCAGGTCAGAACAGGAGGGGAGGGGGTTCTCGTTTCCATCTAGTTTTAAGTTTTGTTTTATTTTCGCGTCCGGGTGTCACTGCTGTTGACCTTCAAGCACGCCCCTTGGAGCTCGTTACTGTCTGCAACCGGGACCCTTCACATGTTTGGGGAAGAACCTCGAAACACGCAAATGAGGTCAATGGGAACGTTCTGGGAACTTATGTAGGGTGTGTTCTTCTTCTGGAGACTGCTTTTTTGTTTTTGGGCGACGTGAGGCACTCTTGGATTGGCGGCGGTGTGTCTTCTTCAATGGGTCTTCCCTCTCTCCCCCCGTCTCCGTCTCCACCCGGCCCCCGGCCTTAGTCTTGCGCGAGCTGCTACCTGCCCCATGCTATGTGATGTCGTTGCTCTTTTGGGGTTTTCCCCTCTGGGTTGTTGGTGTTGCGTGTGCCGCGCGACGATCAAACAAACGAATGACCGGAAACAAGAAAATGCACTCTCACTCACTGGTTCTCAGGTCATTGTGTTCAGAAGCACTTCGTGTTTCCAACAGCACTGAGAATAACTTCTTTTCACTGGTCAGCCGCTTAGCGCGTCGATACTATAGTACCAATGAAACACGCACACCCACACCCACATCCATATGATGCAGATTGCCAACGAGACGGGCGACCCCAGCATGAAGGCGCCCAAGATAACCCTGCCGTTCATGGAGGAGGAGCCGGAGGTGGTGACGATGCCGGTACCGCGAGAGGCTCTCCCTGACAGGTATGGACAGAGGAGTTATCATGTACCCGTGTACCGCTGGTGGGAGTGGGCAAAGCCAATGCGACCTGGCCAAACCAAACGCTTGAGTCCTTGCCGTTTGGTTTGTGGCCAAGAGAGGGTTGGGAAACTGCGAGCGACGGGGTGCATTTCCGTGCGTGATTTTTGTGTGTTGGGTGCAAACTAGAAAGGGGCACGGTCGTCTGATGTAGCTGTCACGTGTCGTCAGCACCGGCCCATGTTCAGAAATGAAAACCCACTCCGTTCCGCAAGCCCGACATGCATCACTGGCATGGTAGGCCACGTCTCGTTTTTTTTTTGGTAGGGTTGTGTGCGTGGTTGTGGTTGGTGGAAAAGTCGCCTGGTTTTGTGTATTTTCTTGTATTCCAGGTGGTGATTGCGAGAAGTGTGATGTGTGCTCTCCCCCCTCCTCCCCCCCCCGAAAGCGAATCCAGCTGACGGGTGGATCGCAAGTCATAATGACGCGGTAATGAATGGCGTCAACCCTTTCTTGCGTCCGTTTTTCGTTACTGTGATGCCTGTTCGACTCCGTGTTGCCTGCGTTTGCGGTGCTGTAAACCCATGTGCCTTTTCCGCTCCGACGGTCCGCATGTCCACTGCGGTCGGTGCCCCTACTGCCCCGTGCTTCGCAACGACAAACTAATAATGTCCATGACCAACACGTTGCTCCAAACCAGCGCTGTGGTGGAGGAGACGAAGGGGTTCGTGCCTACTCCAGCGACGTTGGACGCGGAAGTCGAAGGGGAGATCGTTCAGGAAGACGGGGCGCCGGCGCCCCGCGTATCCTCGGATTCTGCGAAACCCCTCAAGGTGCGTGGAGGCAGTCGGCGTCGCTCGCAAGAGTATTTGAACCAATCTGATCGAGGTTTTGGTTGTGCTGCTTTGCCTCGGAGTGCGCGGCAGCGTCTGGAGAACGGTGCTGTTGTGTGTGTTGGTTTGGTGGTGTGTTTGTCGGATTCCTCCGAGAGCTTGGCCAATCGGTGGCCCGTGCTTGCATGTGGATGGGTGTTCGTTGGCGTAGGGGTGGCATGCAAGAGTGTGGAGAAGTCCGTCGCACTCGTTAGTATTTTAGCAGCGTCATACTTCTTGGAGCCCGAACGTGCTGCATTATCCTTTGGGAGTCATTATCACACGGCGTCGAAGGCGAACGGTGTGGTAGTTTGGAGGATGTTTGAGAGGCTTGAGCGGTAAGGGAAACAATGTCGAAAATTGTTCTGGTGTCTTTTCTCCTTTGTTCTTCCTAGCTCTCCTCTTCAAATCTTCATATCTCGCCTCGTTTCATGTTTGCGTCCAAGTTAGAAATATCGAGTGCGTCCTGTTAATTTCATGCTCACGTTAAACGTACCGTAGTTGTAGATACTCTGTGTTTGTTCATGCTGCATCCGATGCGATATTTCCGGCACGTGCTTGTACTTCGCCACCTGCGTCAACTTGGCCCCATGCCCTATTAGCATCAAGCACCAGGTAGAATAAGTTCAACCGAGGAGTGATACGATCCCCCGCACGCGTTGGTGTGGGTGGAATGATTAATATGAGAGGGACGGCAATATGATGAGGACTGCTTGTGCGCGCTTTGATGGGCGTGGTAGTGACGGACAACAGGTTTGAACAGAGCCTCCTCGGCCCGCCCCAGCCCACGCCCGCCCCCTCCTGTTCCCGTGCTCTCTCACTGACATTGCCATTATGTGACTCCTACGTGTGTTTGTTTTGCGTATTTGCGTATTTGGCGTTCGCGCACATGCACCCCGCTGTTGCGAACAGGGGTCAAAGAAGAAGAAGAAGAAGAAGAGAGCAAGGAAGTAAATGCGATGATGAATTCGAGTGGCATGAAGCTGGCAGCGCAGGCCGCTCTACGGCAGGAGAATTTCACGGGAATATTTGCCATCTCCAGCTACTCCTACTGTAGTGTGACGCGTCGTGGCACAAATGAACAGCGAGCATGCACCCCCCCCCAACTTGCGCGCCCCCGTTGTGTCCCAACCGACCCCATCCCCGGTGACTAGCACTAGTGTTTTCCGTTGTTTTCTGTCTTTTCTCGTTCGGGGTGAAAATAGTGGGAGCAAATGCTTGGCAATGTCGCCGCCGGGTGCGTTGTATTTCCTCTTGAGCTATTTGTAGATGAAGTTTACCATACCGACGAGCGGTAAATGTGCACGGTGGGTTGGGATGCATGGTGGGTTGGGATTCTGGCATTGCTGTTATGCGCACAACGTGGTTGAGTCGGAAAGAAACACAGAACACGTTCAGCGATTCGGTTGGCATGTCTTGCGACTTCATACCACCGTCTGTTATTGGGGGCCGAAGCCACTCGTCAGCGCAAGATAAGTCTGCCGTGTTAACGCACTGGTACGCATACGATAGAAGAGCTCTGTGCGCGGCGGGGCGGGAAGAGGGAGTGGGACGGAGATAGAGTTCTACGTTTCACCGCAACCCACAGCAGCAGCAGTGGCAAACATGCGATGCCGGGGGGGGCGCGTCTGTAAAGTCTTGCAGGCAGTTTATGCCGTGGATGGAACGGAACACACACGTGTTTGTTTGAGGTTTGGGTGTTGTCATTTGCGAGGTTACAGCCATAGAAGATTATTTGGTGCGTCCTCCTGTCTGCGAGCGCTGAGTGCGAGGGAGATGAGAGGGTCCCGCTATTCTCGACAGTGTTAGCATACTAAATCAGAACACGTTACACTTTTTTGGAACGAAACGGTATCGCATCCGCGAGTGTGTGGATTCACCCGGTGCTTGCTTCATGCTGGATGAAGTACTTGACGAGGGCCTCGTTTGCTCTCATGTGTACCCCCAATCCCGCATTCATCTATCCTACCGTCGCGTTTTCTCGGAGCGCCCCAGTCTGGAATCGCTCTGGATACTCGGGGTTCATCGCCCGGACGTTCTCTGCTCACCAACTCTCAAAGCTCTCATTGTTACTCGCATACGATGATACGATGATGGTTACAGAAGAACTTTTGCGAGAGACCCGGGGGTAACGAGATCCCAGGTTGATGTTGAACGGCCGTCCCGTTCCCGCCCGGACAAATCCATCCCGGATGTCTGGGGATCCCGCCCGGAATATTTCCAGCAGCCTTCTTCAGTCGTCCTATGCACACCACACGCTCAAACGAAGATACCGTATATGACACAAGATAACACATCCCCTGGACCGATTGTCAAAACTCGATTACTCCACGACGAAGAGGATGCATACACGAAATGATACACTTTCGAAAAGATCTCGACGAGACGGTTTTAACGTCGCCGTTTTCGGCGCTGTGACTGTTCCTGCAGATGAGAAATCGAGCTTCGAAAATCGGTCAAGGGAGTGTGTTATCTTGTGTCATATATGGTAGATGCATGACGACAGTGAAGTGTAGACTAATTGTAGTAAAAGAAGCCTGTTTATATTTGCGTCCCCGAAACCAAAAACTGAAAACATCCACCAACCAATCCATTAAAATATACCCGTCCCAAAGGCATTATACCCAACCAATGTATAGTCTACTATTTAGATCTCAATAGATTTCATTCCTTCAGATAGATATCTGCAGCAACAATCAATCACAGCTTCCAACAGGGTGCGAGGGACACCGTCGAATAAGAAAGTAATTACATTTGGTAACGGTTCGCTTCACTATTATCACAATAAAATAATGTCTGTTTTTCTGGTTTGTTGGTGAATCGGGGGAATCGAGACGTGCCAATAATGCGGCGAGATAAATATCGGGTGGTGTGACTCTCGCTGTCTCGCTGTCTAGCAATCTCGCGAGCGGTTTTCTCGGTTCTGGTCTCTAAACTCTCGACTATCAAACGCTCTTCTTCGGTAGCAGTAGTTTCCATCCCCATATTCTCGCAGTAAACATGGTCACTCTCGTATAATACCGAGAATCAGAGAGATATGTCGTTGTGTTGAATGTTCGACGTGTGTCGATTGGTGTCGATCGTCGTGAGATTGGCCAATCAAGTTTGTGCGGGGTTGCGCCGCATTTTTGAATCCTTGTTGTAAGTCTAGTATGTACTTTCGAAGTACGAGTTGCGAGAGGGCAGGAGACAGCAGTCTCCCGAGAGTACGACGAACCAAGAGCTCCCTCACGTGTATACAACGTGAGGGTGGTTGAACGTACCATGCTTGCAATAAGCGTATAGCTTTGTTCTTCGATCGTTCAGTCGGGCAGGGCAGCGCACGCAGGACTGGCTGTTGAGAACAATGGCCAACCGGACCCGCTGCAGTCAACTGCCGCCGCTCCCGCAGTTGACGAGGTACGTCTCCTACTAACTGCTATTCACACGTGGGTCTGTGGCATTGATTTCATGTGGGGATTGGTCTGATGGGTTCCTGCAGGCCCACGGCGCACTTACGGTCCTCTCTTTGCCAAATTTTGCATCATGGGTGGGCGGGCCGTTTGCATCATCAGTGCATCTATCGGCGGTGACAGCCGAATGTATCTGCGTATGCATACAGCAGTATCAGTACAGAAAGAATCGGCCCCAATGATGCGTTACAATGCGGGAGAGCGACAGCCCGCTATGCCTACGCTAATACCATGCAACTCAGCACACAGCAGTGCGTTCTCTCGTGCAGGACAAGGAACAAGAACAGAGGAGTTGTGAAAAGGTGGGCGCGAGGTAGCCCATCAACACAATTTCCTGTTCTTTTCTTTTAACCACGCGCAACGAAAATCCATCTCTATCCCACAGACGGCATGAGTCCAGGAAAAATTACATGTACTACAAAGTAGTTTTTATGTCGTGGCGTATCACACTACAGTTGCTGAAATTCACGCGGAAGATATCGCAGCTGGAAAGCTGCTACGTGGTGGTGGTGTTGTTGAGCCTTCTCCTTGTGCTTCGAATCCGAAGGCTAAGGCTGGACCCTGTCAACCAGCCCCTTCCGCTGCCCCGCTGTCGGGGGAGTCTGATGACTTCTATTAGGCATGTTTTTGTTTTTGTTCCAGGTGTAGAGACTGACGTACTTTCATTAGTCAGCCGGTTAGCGCTCGATCGATGCTATGTAAACAAACACACGCGCTCGCACATTCTTTTTCAGGACCAACGCCAGTCCCCCAAGTCCCAGGAAGCAGATTGTGATCGACGTGTTCAACATGTTCGACACCGATGGCTCCGGAGAAATCGAGCTGGAAGAGATGGCCAAGGCATTCAAGGCGACGGGAAAGCTCACGGACGAGACGAGGGCGCAGCTCGAGGCACACTTCGAGTTCATGGACAGCGACGGCTCAGGTGAGGAGACATATTCCTTTCGATCAAGTGTGGCGTAGCCTACGTCTTGTTCCCGTTCGCTTCACGTCGATCCTGTTCAGCCTAAGCAGAAGGAGGATTAAAGGAATAGATATGCATATTTACCGCGATTTCCAGCATCGAGCGGGCGGTCGGGAGCAATATTGGTACCAAAGGCATCGCGCTTCACACCTTGCGGAATCCTCGATTCGTACGTGTCGCTTGCCGTATCTTGTATCAGATGTTGGTTCTCGATACCAATAGCGCCGCCGATCCGCAGTTCCTTCCAACCCGGCGGTCTCTCTTATTTCAATTGAACAGCTTCAACTACTCGCGGACGCACAGAACATGCACCTCTGTAGAAGCTATCGCTCTTGTACGCGAAAGGGGGGTCAGTCCATCCTTAGCCTCAAGCGCGCAAGACCGAGTTGTTTTTTATCCCCGGAAGAAGGATCATCCCTGCCAAACACCGAACAGCCCTGAAGGAACGATTCGAACGTTGTTTATTTTAGGCGAGGTGACCATCGACGAGTTTCGTGAGGCGCTGGGGCACGGGGAGATCGCCTTCCGCAACTATCAACACCAACAGGTATGTACACTTGCAGCACACACAAGAGTGTCGGAGCTCCCCCCCCCGGCCGGACAGCTATTACACCTACTATAACCCCCCCGGATGTACGCCGGAGATATCTTCATATACTTGGACCCTGGTGCCGATGACAAGGCGAAGAGGGAGCACCTTTGGAGATGCTGCGCCCCCCAAAGCCCACTGCAGAAAACCACCCCTGACAAAAATGTTTTCGGGGCAACCACTTGGATATTGCGTTCCCGAAACTGAAAAAAAAAACACACAACAAAAACAAACAACACCCCAAACTGTTGCGGATTCCGGTCATTCACAAGCAAGGGAAATTATTACCATGTTGTTTCGGGGGGGCGGTGCTTTCTCGAGCCACAGCAGTTAGCTGTGGGTTGGCGTATCGATTGACTTTGAGAGCACAACCAAGGAGACGTGATGTTCGGTTTCCAGGCTGTCAAACCTGCTCGCTATACCACTCGTTTTGATTCAGGCAGGGCGCATTGTTAATGATGTCCATGTTGTCCATGTTCGAGGTGCCACGCTGACATACGTGCACCAAACGTATCGACTAGATCCGTTCGGTCCATGATTGTTTCAATTTCGAGCTTTAGCTATTTGGGCCAGAGCGGCCTTCGTCCATGACATACCGGTTGAGGAATCACGTGCAGATTCCACCAAACATGCTCAAAGACACACACAATCCAGATCGTCTCGATATTTTTTGCCAGCAGCTATCTAGTCCACCCATAGACCGCATTCCAAGTGAAGCTAGCTTATTACAACAAGATGCATTCCACTATGACTTTCACAGCACCGACCGGTCGTTCGTCTCGTGCGCGTATTGTTCACATATTATTTCAGGCGTTCTACTCGCTGGGTCTGACCTTGTGCCAGAACCTCGTGGTCTACCGGAAGCACGTGCTCAACCAGGAGTTCGAGAGCATGAAGCAACAGCCACCGGGGAGCGCGGTGGGCGGCCTGGAAGATCAGTTCGATTGCCTGGTGCGATCCTTGATGATGAGCACCTTCGCGCTCAAAGGCGGGGACAGCGGCGGCGGCAACGACAAGGGGAAGGGGGGCGGGGGACACGAGGAGCAGTGGTCCCAAAGGCGGGGTTGCAGTAAATACGCCTCCAAAACCTTGAAAGGGAGCGATGACCAGGCGAGGAACAATGAGTTGCTGCGCAAGAGGGTGAGTGTGGTGTTGTTCAGGGCGGTCGGTGATGCCCTCCCTTTGAAGCGTGCTGGAAGGAACGAGGCAGCAGTTTTGGGTGGCGCAGCTTATGCCCCCTGCTTGGGGTAGTACGTAGTTCTAGTTCCGTGTACAGGAAGCAGCATGTTCTCCACAAAAATACGCAAAACAACGAGGGGTACGTGAGCCCGTCAGCATATGTTCAGTTGACTAGACTAACTGTGGCTTTTGCAAGGAGGAGGCCTAAATGGGAAAGGCAAGTTGCTGCTGTGGTTGATATTCAGATATTGGCCGTTAGTTTACCTCCAAGTGCAAGTAAAGAATAATGACAGGTCAGGTCGCACGTGTTCGCGTTTACTACTCATGCTTTACTTGCACATTGACCTTCTCTTTCGTGTTACCTAGTGGGACGTTGAAAATCGACTCTCGTAGGCCTTGGCTTGAGTCGCCTATTCGTTCTCCCAGCAAAAGAAGGTTCACTGAGAAGGAGCCTCTTCTTGTTTTTCGTCGTGTTGACAAATCGTAGGAGGCCCGCGTGTTGGCCCACGCCTTGAAGGTTGGGCAGACTAGGAGGAAACTGAGACCTCTCCCTGCCAGCAGGGGGCAGCATCTGCGCGCAGTGGTTCGAAAGGAAGTGGCGGACATCTGGACGGTGAGACTCAGTCGAAGTTTTTCGCGGCCTCGTTTTATCATCCGGCAAAATGCAGAAGATCTGATGTCGTGTGGCCAATCAATAACCCATGGGCGTCGAGGCTGGCGAGGAAACCAGCAGAAGAAACGAAAGCTGTGCGTCGCGGTACCATCCCCCCCCCCCCCCCCCCC